AAATGGACATTTATACATGAATCACAAATCTTATAATATTTAGGAGTCACTACTTACCATAGTAACTCCATCATTGGCTCATTCAAGCTAATGTTTGTTCGATAACATAAATAAAAATAAAATATGCACTCACTTTTGCCTCACTATCGAACTTTTCCTACGATAATATTCTCAATCCCACACTTTTTCCTTCACTTTCAAGTCACTTGGGTCACTAGATTGATCATGGTATGACAACATCATATAATAACATAAAATATTCAAACTATATGTTAGTATCGTACTAACATAATCTAAACTTAATAATATAAAAGTCTATAGAAATAAAATCGATACTTAATCGATATAAAACAAAATCATATTTCCATCATAAATTTCAAACTTCTCAAAATACTCATTCGATTCTATAAATATTTATTTTATCATCATAAACTTGAACTTTTACCAACATTGCATTCAAATTACTAATTATGAATTCTTTTAGAATTCATATCAACCTTTCCATTTAATTCATAATGATCCTTCACCATCATGATCATTTCACATAATTTACTAAAATTCCATCACCTTGATAATGTACTCAATTTAATACCTCAACATTCAAAGGCTTGCAATTTCATCCTCTTTTTCCTTATACTTTTCTAATTCAACCACCTACTTTAATAAACTTGCAATTTGATCCCAAAATAATATTTTAACTCTAAAAATCAATATGCTAATAAATTTTATAGAATTATAATTTTCATAACAAAATAATATCATCACTTTTAAAAACTCCCAATTAAGTCCCATCTATTGAGACTATTCGAATTCCATAATCATACTTATCCAAATTTGCATTTTGACCCTCAATCATTAATCTAACTTAAAATTCCAACATTTCAGTATTAAAATTCAAATTGAACACCCCAATTAACACAATTATGCAATAATATCTCACAATTTTCGAAACTTGTAAAACAACCCTTTTCTATTTCAAGCTTCCAAATTGATCTCCAAAACTTGTAGGACACATCTAATATCAATTCTAAATCATAGGAAAAATTTCAATATTCCGCCCTAAATTTCCCTTTATGGTTGAATGTCCCAAGTCATCTAGGGCTTAATTTACAATCAATTTCAAGCATGAATTCAACTTTCTTACATCAAATTCATGTTATTTCATTCATCACAACATCAAATTAAATTAAAATCCAATCATTCTTAACAAACCCTGGTATGATCGAATGTCTTATATAACTCTACACTTGATTTTAATCATCAGACATACTTGGAAATTAATCTACAATATCAAAAGCATAATAATCTTCCATTAAATCTTCAAAATCAAACATGTTCTTCATATAGCCTAATCACCAAACTCATCATAAAAGCATGATTTCCATGAAATTTTTATACAAAATGATAAAGAATTTCAAGAGGATTAATTCTCTATCTTATAGCTTATCCAAAAATCAATCGAATAAGTTTAAAAATGAACTTGAATTTTTTTACCTCTTTTAGCTATGGTGTTCACGGTTTGCTAGAGAAGAAGAGAACAATTCTTGATTTTTCTATATTAATTAACTAATACACGTCTTTACAATAATATAAATGAGTTTAAATTTCATTTATAACTAGTTTACCATTTTGTTATTAATAAAACTTGATAATTTCAACCATGCCATTGCAATATCCTCCATTAAAATATTCCTTATTTAAATATGAATCAAATTGTCTTTGAATTTCTACTTTGGCCACGCAATTTTCAAAAATTGCATTTTATTCATTAAATTTCCATTGTTCGGCCAAATCTAACAAATTAACTTCAATTCCACTGATACATGCCAAATTTCACTGATCTAAAGTATGGAAATATTATTTCCAACCTTTATATAACAACTTTAAATTTTTGTGAAATTCTTCGATTTGATTATCCGATTTCTATACCGAACTTTATCGCTTTATAGATTTTAATACGAATCTCATACCAAAAATATGATTCCCACAAAAATTGTTTTTTAGGCCAAACAGTTCATTTACGGGTAAAATATATAACTTTTCAATTTTACATTTTTGGTCCATAAACTTTCACAAAGTTTATACTTTAGTCACCAAACTTTTAAAACTTACATTTTTGTCCTTAACCAAAAAATGGGGAATTGCATTGGGTATAGCCCTTACTATCTACCCAAGGGATGAGGTAAGGTTCCTAAAGAAGGTTGAATCCTCGACCCCTGCATCTACTAGTACATCATGATGGTCCGTGTCTGGGACGAACTCGTCACCGATGTCGGCTGCTAGAGATGCATGAATCTTGTCCCTACCGTCCTAACTATATTTTGGATCATCTACAATAGGTTTTCTCTGAAATTAGAAATAAATGGAGGTTATTATCGTCATTCTAATCTATATAGTACTCTTGACTCTCTAGAGGCATGTACACGTTTAGAGCATGACTAACTCTATCCCACGGGTCCTAAGAACCACTAAATGAGCATGCAAGTGCCATAGGTATAACGACATACAATGCTGATATGACATGAAGAGGTAGATATCATAGTGTACCTGAGGGTTCTGCATCTCGGAGTGCACACCCCTCTAGCATTCCTAATGTAACACCCTTACCCTATATAATTCCTAAATATGATTCAAAATGTCACATATTGATTTACTAATATTCACTAGAATTCATTTATTCAAAAATTAAAATTAATCATTTATTATTAATCGAGTAATATCAGTTTTTATTTTTTTCAAGCTAATTTCGATTTCAAGTAGTAACTTAGCAGTTCAGAAACTGCCTAATTTCAACCTTAACTGGTTTCTCCATTTTTATTCTATTTTACTGAATATTATACCTGTAATCCATTTAAACATTTTCAACACTAATATAACTATCTCCATTCATTTTAATAACATAAACTAATTCATAAACTATTACAACTAAATCTAAACTAGTTTATGATCATATATTACTATTGTATACATGCCAACTAGTAAAATCACAATACATCAGATAGATGTCATAATTGATACATAGATATACTCCTCGATAACTAGGATGCCAAGAACTCCTTACTACGATTCCTGCTTTTTACCTGCACATGAAAATCATCATATGCAAGTATACACTTAGTGAGGCAATCATAGTAATAGTCAATGCAATACAACAGATAAATATAAATAAATAACATTACTCAATTCATTATGATCACTTTACCTATATTTTAGTCATGTTACCATATATTAACATGACATAAATCATATATAAAATTTCTTACTAATATACTTGTCATTCATTCCAAAAGCTCATAAGCTTTTTCACATGTTTATAATTTATTAACCGATAACCGTATCCCAAATATAAGCATATGATAACCCTGAGTATACGACTCAAAATATACACCGAAGTGCTAATACACATAAGGTTGTGCCCACCATAATACACACAAGGTTGTGCTTACCATATACACTAAGTTTCCTTTATATGCACTATAATGATAATTCAAATATGCAACTTGCTGCTAGATTCTGTGGCATGCCAATTATACTGTTGTCCTTCAATGAAATACTTGGACATATAGTCTATATTTATTTCATCCATGGAAAAGTATATCAACATAATTTAATTTAACATTTGACACTTCATACTAGAAATAACATTCATGATAAACATCATATATAAACTAGTGATCCATGCATTTATATTCAACTTTTGACATAACTAGAACATGTTAAATACATGATAAATGGCATATATATCATGCCAATATAAATAAGGTCGACTCATAGCAAGTCTTCATAATGATGTATAAAACATCCATGCTTCATGTTATGTATGCATTGCACTCAACTTGACACTTTTTATACAAGTCAAAATTTAAGCCTCGCTAAGCTTTAAGCTCGATCCTTTTCTTTTCCTTTGTTGTTAGTTTGATATCGATTTTGATTGTTGTCTATAAATACATCAAACATATAACACGAATAACCAAAAGCATGTGTTAGTATCCATCCAACCCATGAGCATATAGTGTAGAAAAAATTTATAAAATTCATTTCAATGCAACTGATACATGCATCACAAGACTCACATCAAAAGAATATAGACTAACACTTCTAAGTGATCCATACGAAAAAGCATTGGAAAATAAGAACATCAGAGTAACAGACTTGCGACTGGTTTTTGGATAGGATCCATATGTTATTTGGTCAACATGTCTTTTGGAGTTACAAATGTCTATCTCTTAGTTTTCCAACTGTTCTTGAATCACATTAATTTGATGTCGGGCGGGATTAATGCGAGATTTAATAAATATTATGAATTTTTAATATTTTTATAAATTATATGTAATATATTTTAGCATAATACAACAAAATAACACCAACGACATCGAATCAACCAAATTTGAACCAACTAGCCATGCCACCAAACCAACTATCCTTGGACCGAACAACCACACTCCTTTTTGACTAGCCAGCATCACCGAACCCGACAAAAATAAAAAATTTACCAAGTCCATCCCACCTAGACCGACCAGCAGCACCAAACCAGCCCACTTTGCCTCAAGTCAAACATACCAAATTGTTTTTTACAAGAGAAGACAAAAACCAGTGCATGGGCCTACTTTCGAACCTCGACCCGGGTTTCCCACACATCATGAATACTCTCATGATCCAGAACAAAGCCCGAATCCCTCGGGAGATGAAGAAGGTAACTCGAGTCCCTCTAATGAATTAAATGCCTTGATTGATAACAATGATTTGTTGATTGCTTAGAGGAAGAGAGTTAGGAGATGTACAAACCATGCGATTCATAGATTTATTGGATATGAAAAACTGATGCTTTGTTTCAAGAATTTTACAACCAATGTAGACAACATTATCATTCCAAATAGGGTGACATAAGCATTGAAGGACCCTAAGTGGAAAAAGAATGTAGAAGAAGAACTAATCGCACTAAAAAACAACATGTGTGTTATAGCTGATCTCTCGAAAGACAAGAAACATGTCGGCTGTAAATGGGTATTCACGGTGAAATACAAGGTGAATGACAATATTGAACGATACAAGGCGAGACTAGTGGCGAAAGAGTTTACTCAGTCCCAAGGAGTTGATTATCAAGAAATATGTTCTCCTGTAGAAAAATTGAACACTGTGATGGTGCTACTATCGTTGACAGTCAATGAGGACTAGGTGCTTCATCAACTAGACATCAATAATGCCTTTTTAAACGATAACTTAGAGGTGGAAGTGTATATGTGAATCCCACCTGGTGTGAAGGGTGGTATAGGAAAAGCGTGCTGACTACTAAAGTCTTTATATGAACTCAAACAATCTCCAAGAGTGTGGTTTGACAGATTCATGAAGGTAATATTCAGGATGGATACAAGCAAAGTCAGTCGAATCATACCTTGTTCATCAAAACAACTTTAAACAAGAAGGCTATGTTGATAGTCTTGTAGATGCTATCATCATAACTGGTGATGACTCTGTGGAGATAGAAAGATTGAAGAAGTTACTAGCAAGGGAATTTGGGACAAAAGACTTGATAAATTTGCGATATTTCTTAGGCATGAAGGTTGCAAGGTCGAAAGAAGGGATAATGTTCAATCAAAGAAAGTACACTCTAGATCTACTATCAGAGACAAGAATGATGAGATGCAAGCCAGCCGAAACACCCATGCATGCAAATCTTAAGTTAAAAAGAGAAGAATTGGGAAGTCCAGTAATAAAGAACAATACCAAAGGCTAGTAGGCAAACTCATCTACTTATCACTTACCAGGCTTGATATAGCCTTTTTTGTCAGTATTGTGAGTCGATATATGAACGATCCAAGAGAAGAACATTTGGAGACCATGAACTGAATCCTGAGATACTTGAAATTGACACCGGACATGGATTGATTTTCAGGAAGAGTAAAGATAGAACGGTGAAAATATTCTCTGTTTCGAGTTGGGCAGGAGAATTAACTGATAGAATATCTACAACCGATTATTGTTCGTTTGTTTGGGGAAATCTTGTCACTTGGAGAAGTAAAAAGTGGGTTGTGGTCTCTTGAAGTAGTGCATAAGCATAGTATAAAGCAATGACACTCGGTATTTGTGAGGGATTTGGTTACAAAGACTGTTAACTGAGTTGGGTTTATGTAAAAACAAGTATCTTGAACTTCAAAGTGACAGTAAATCGATAATAAGTATTGCGAAGAATCCAGTTCATCATGGTCAAACGAAGCATGTGGAGATTGGTAGACATTTCATCTCGGAAAAGGTGAACGGTGGACTAGTAAGACTAAATTATGTTCCTACCTATGGGTAAGCAAAATTCGACTCGACTCGAAAAATCGATTTATTTTTTCAATTTTGAATTATTCGATTCGAGTTATTTGAGTTTAACTCGAATTATCAATTTGGTTTTCAAGTTTAGTTGAAATTTTGAAATATTGAGTTACAAAAATAAAAAATTTGACTAAGTATTTTGACAGTTTTATGATTTAGTTTCTGATTTCATTATTCTTTCATTTCTTCCTTCATTTTAAGTCCATTTTTGACCAACTTTTAACCACATGCTCCTAAAACATCATATAATACATATGTAATTTCAATTCCTCTTCCTGATAATAATTTTTTTATTTTTGAATTTAGTCCCTCAATTTTCCATAATTTCCTTATTTCTTCAATTCATCCTTTATTTAAGTATGTTTTTACTAAATTTGGACCACATACACATATACCACAATAGAATACCTATGTAACTTTAATTTCTACTTTTTTACTAAAAATGTACTCTATGTGTTTTTATTTAGTCCCTTAACTTTTCATTTTATTCAATTTGGTCTTTTGACTACAGTTGTTTGCAAATTCTTTCTTTCATCAATTCATTGACTCCTTTGTACTCTCATCAATATTTTACCATCAAAATATTTTCTTTGAAATATAATATTATGAATATATTTTATAATTTTAGATTTATTTATATATTACATAATATTATAATGTGAAAAGAATATAATATATATATATTATATGGTTAGAGAAAGTTGAAAAATTGAAACAAATCCTTGCCATAATACTATAAATAATTATAACAAAATTAGTACAAACTCGAATAACTCGACTCGACTCGAGAACATTTCAAGTTAAGTTCAAGTTGTAAAATACAACTCATCAACTCGAATAACTCAAAATTTTTTTGACTCGACTTGACTCGATCGAATGCTCACCCTATTCCTACCAAAAACCAATGGGCGGATATCCTCACTAAGGCACTTCCCAAAACCACATTTGATAAGATCGTATCCAAGCTGGGTCTTTTCAACATTTACTCCTCAACTTGAGGGGGAGTGTGAGTTGTATGATTGTATAGGATTGCCTAGTATTTTAAGTTAATTCTAATTCTAATCCTAACTATTAGCATGTTGTATTAGAATAATATACTATAAGGTATTCTAGTTCTAGTAGGAAACTTACTCCATAAATTGTATATAAATAAACGTGTATTTCCCAGATTAATTATGCAATTGAGAAGAATTATATCTTCCATATCTCTTGGGTTTCTCTGTTATCTACACTTCCATGCTAGGCTGATATAATGCCAAGTAAACTAAGACACTAAACTGCGAGTACCTTTGCATTTACCATGAATATACATATAATACTTTAACGCAGAATGCTTAAAGATTATAGCTCATTCTATTGTATGATTATGCAACGTGGAATGGGGTAATGCAATATTTAGCTGGATCCCTTATCAAATTTCTTATTTTAAGACTTGAAAATTTGTTATATTTCAATTTTAAGTTGGCGTGCTATCCCTGGTCAATAATATGCCTGCAAATGGAATGTCTTTTTAAGGTGAAGACTTATCCCTTAACTTCATTCAGTTGCCTCCCAACCATTCTTAAGTATCAGCTTAATTATGTATTTCTATGCAAACTTGTTGAAAAACATTTTGATGTTTCGATATAACAAATTAAGTGTTAATAAATTTAAAGATTTTGTATTAAGTTTTTAAATTATCTATTCGATTAATCTATTCGAATATCAAAATTATTACTCCAAGTTTTTCAAATGTCAATTTTAATCCTTACTAAAGTGTAGAATTAAGTTTCAAACTTAAAATATTTTTGAAACAATTTACAAAGTATTTCGAACCTTCTTCAAAGCCAAAAATTACAGTTTACTCAGAGGGTACCGATACCCCCCATGAGGTACCGATACCCCCTGAAAGATTTTTGTTCCGAGAAATAACAGAATGCTCGGAGAGTACCGATACCCCCCAGGAGGTACCGATACCTCCCCAGGAGGTACCGATACCCCCCAGGTGGTACCGATACCCTCGTGTTATAACGGTCGAAATATTTGAATTTTACACTAATAGGTACTGATACCCTATGGTAGGGGTACCGATACCCCCCGCTCCCAGCAGACTTTTTCATGTGGTTTTTCACACTACAACGGCTCAAACTTCACTCAAATGATTCCCAACGACTAGAATCATCTCAAGGGATATTTATACAAGTTATGAAGCCATTGATCATTAATAATCAAGAGAGAATCAAAGAGAAAGCTTTAAACATCAAGTTTGAGCAATTCAAGTCATTTTTCATTCAATTTTCATTTTTGCTTTCAAGAACACTTGTTGTACTCAATTATATTATTCTTGAGTGTTCTTTGTTCTAAGAATTGTGCAAACATTTTGACTTGTGAGGTTTTTCTGTAAGTTTGGAAAATTTGTTTAGTTCTCTTTGGAAGAGAGTGTTCTCAAGAATTTGGGGTATAATTCTTGAGGGATTTGTAAGGTTACTCTTTTTCCTCAAAAGAAAGACAAATTAGTGAATTTGTGGAAAATCCTTAGTGTGGATAGCTAAGGTAGTGGACGTAGACTTTGTTTGAGAAAGTCGAACCACTCTAAATCATTGTGCAATACTTTTCATTTTCTGCAAAAGCTTCCACCAAAATTGTTATTGCCAATTCACCCCCCTCTTGGCCGAATCTGTCAATCAATTAACTCAACAATTAGTATCAGAGCCTCACTTATTTGAAGATTTAATCGCCTCTTGAGTCGATTCGGGAAGAGTTATATCGATTATCAAGTCATCAATGGCCTCCGCTTCAAACTTCGACTCCGGTCTTGATTCAATGCCCGTCAACAAGCCTTCTTTCTTCAATGGAGCCAACTATGCCTATTGGAAGAATAGGATGATGTACTTCATTCAAGCAAGTGACATGGGAGCGTGGAATATCGTAGAAGACGGATATATCAAACCTTTCACTCATCCAAGATTGTGGAGTGAAGGAGAGACGAGATTGTTCCAGATCAACTCCAAAGCCATCCATATTATTTTTTGTGCCCTTGGACCGGATGAATACGGAAGAGTTTCATCTTGTACAACCGCTAAGGAAATATGGGATAAACTACAAGTCACTCATGAAGGTACCGACGAGGTGAAAGAATCTAAAATTAGTCTTCTAACTCATAGCTATGAAAATTTCATAATGAAACCAAATGAAGATATCAAAGCTATGAAGGATAGATTTTCAACAATAGTCAATGGTCTCAAATCATTTGGAGAGATCATTCCAAATGAAAACTTGTGAGGAAGTTAGTTTACTCTCTTCCAAAATCATGACAATCAAAGAAGACGACAATTATCGAGGCTAAGAACTTGAAATCCTTAACCCTTGAAGAACTAATCGGTTCCCTCCTCACTCATGAAATGATTCTTGAAGATGAGGTAGACCTCGATAAAATTGACGAGACACCAAAGGAGAAGGAGAAGAAAAAGAACATTGGAGTTTCTCTCAAATCCAAAAAAGATTAGAGTGATTCGGATGAAGATGAAGATGACGAGGAAATGTCATTATTTTCCAAACGATTCAGAAAATTGATGAAGCCCAACCGAGGAAGAAAATTTAAACGCAATGAAGGCTTCAAAACTGAATCGAAGGAGAAAGACCCGATTATTTGCTACAAATGCAAAAAGTCGGGGCATGTCAAATATGATTGCCCTCAATTGAAGAAAAAGGGTCAATCAAAGAAGAAACACAAGGCTCATGTGGCTACATGGAGTGATGAAGAAGGTTCCGATGAAGAGAAATAAGAAGTAGCCAACTTGTGTTTAATGACCATCGGGGAAAACTCTGAGGTAACCTCTAACTCATTCGATTTGGATGAATTATCTTATGATGAGTTATTAGAGTATTATAATGGGTTGGCTTTGGATTATAAGACTCTATTTTCAAAATACAAAAAATGGTATTTCAAAATTGAAAAATGAAAATAGTCTTATGTCCAAAACCAACAATGAGCTTGAAAGTAAGATTAAAGAATTGCAAATCAAAATTGATGATTTTGAAAAGAAAAATAATGATTTGCATAACTTACTTTCAAAAGTTCATGATGATCATCAAAAAGAAATTGATGATCTTAAAACTTCTTTTAATAAAGTTGGTACAAAACGTTTTGAAAAAGGAGAAAATTCAAAATCCAACTTTGTTAGAAAAAGTTTTAGAAACTACAATCATAGAAGTCCTCAAAGAACCTTAAATGGAAAAATCATTAGAAGTATGTGGGTTCCTAAAGAACTCATTACTACTAAAGATAAGGATATCCTACATAAATGGATACCTAAGGGGACTAGAATTTTAGAGACTAATGAATATGGACCCAAAAGAATTTGGGTACCAAAAATTAGAAATTAATCTATGTTTGTAGAAAAATGAGCATTGCTAAAAGGCACGGGAAACAAATCCAAATTCATGGTACCTTGATAGTGGATGCTCAAGACATATGACCGGAAATAAGAGCCGGTTCATAGAGCTTAACGCCAAAAATGGAGGAGAAGTGACTTTTGGTGATGATTCAAGAGGTCACATTGAAGGTATAGGTACTATAGGTAATATCTCTTCCATAAAAATTAAAAATGTTTTATATGTGAATGGATAAAAGCATAATTTATTGAGTATTAGTCAATTATGCGATAAGGGATTCAATGTCATGTTTGAAACTAATGGTTGTAAAGTTATTGACATTGCATCTAATCGAATTATGCTTATTGGT